AACAGTGTCAGGATAATACTGTAATGACATAAATATATTCATTCACTTGTAACAGAGAGTAATGATAATACAATGTATAAGAAAATAATCTACTGTTTCACTGCCAGGATTACACAGATAACACTGAGTTGTGTTAATTATGTAACAGTCTGTTACTGTTTCACTGCCCGGGTTACACAGATAACACTGAGTTGTGGTAATTATGTAACAGTTTGTTACTGTTTCACTGCCCGGGTTACACAGATAACACTGGGTTTTGGTAATTATGTAACAATATTTTACTGTTTCACTGCCCGGGTTACACAAATAACACTGACTTGTGGTAATTATGTAACAGTCTTTTACTGTTTTACTGTCCGGGTTACACAGATAACACTGACTTGTGGTAATTATGTAACAGTGTGTTACTGTTTCACTGCCCGGGTTACACAGCTAACACTGACTTGTGGTAATTTGTAACAGTCTTTTACTGTTTCACTGCTCGGATTACACAGATAGCACTGAGTTGTGGTAATTATGTAACATTCTGTTACTGTTTCACTGCCCGAGTTACACAAATAACACTGACTTGTGGTAATTATGTAACAGTCTTTTACTGTTTCACTGCCTGGGTTACATAGCTAACACTGACTTGTGGTAATTTGTAACAGTTTGTTACTGTTTCACTGCTCGGATTACACAGATAGCACTGAGTTGTGGTAATTATGTAACATTCTGTTACTGTTTCACTGCCCGAGTTACACAAATAACACTGACTTGTGGTAATTATGTAACAGTCTTTTACTGTTTCACTGCCCGGGTTACACAAATAACACTGACTTGTGGTAATTATGTAACAGTCTTTTACTGTTTCACTGCCCGGGTTACACAAATAACACTGACTTGTGGTAATTATGTAACAGTCTTTTACTGTTTTACTGTCCGGGTTACACAAATAACACTGACTTGTGGTAATTATGTAACAGTCTTTTACTGTTTTACTGTCCGGGTTACACAAATAACACTGACTTGTGGTAATTATGTAACAGTCTTTTACTGTTTTACTGTCCGGGTTACACAAATAACACTGACTTGTGGTAATTATGTAACAGTGTGTTACTGTTTCACTGCCCGGGTTACACAGCTAACACTGACTTGTGGTAATTTGTAACAGTCTGTTACTGTTTCACTGCCCGGGTTACACAGATAGCACTGAGTTGTGGTAATTATGTAACATTATGTTACTGTTTCACTGCCCGGGTTACACAAATAACACTGACTTGTGGTAATTATGTAACAGTCTTTTACTGTTTCACTGCCCGGGTTACACAAATAACACTGACTTGTGGTAATTATGTAACAGTCTTTTACTGTTTTACTGTCCGGGTTACACAAATAACACTGACTTGTGGTAATTATGTAACAGTGTGTTACTGTTTCACTGCCCGGGTTACACAAATAACACTGACTTGTGGTAATTATGTAACAGTCTGTTACTGTTTTACTGCCCGGGTTACATAGCTAACACTGACGTGTGGTAATTATGTAACAGTCTGTTACTGTTTTACTGTTACGGTATTAAATGATGTATAACTATTGTTACCGTTGATGGTATACGTAATGTACGGTAATGTATATAATACTGTTTCACTCACCGGATTATTTGGGTCAGAACAATCTCGAATGTCACCTTGATATCTGCCGAGATTAAATCCGCTATAACCGTAGTTGAACCAATTTCTATCATCAATAAACTGACCAAATTCCCTCTGAGGTTCACCAATCACCATGGCAACTAAAATATTACGTTTATTAAAGTAAAGCGTGACGAACATAAATTCCTTCACAATTTGAGAAACTGATTGATCAGTGGTAAATGATGGTGCGTTATATTCATATTAGCCGTGTGATCCATTGTTCTGAATGATAATGTAATTGTTGATTTGATGGTCATGATAATTAGTAATTCGTAACAATTTAAATGTCGATATGATGTTCACAACACGTTAAGTTTAGCAATGTAATTGTGGTAAATGTTGTTGTGTTGCTCATGATGTATGGTCATGTGCGATAATGTTATTAATAATATGATGAACATTGTATAACGACAAGTGTAATAAAGTAATTATGGTACATGTTGGTTTATTGACACTATGCAACTGATCATGTAATGTCTCGCTTGGTGATGTAATAGTGGTAATTGTTGATCATAATATAACGGCGAATGTGATTGGCTATGACGTAATGTCACGTGCTGACGTGCGGTGATATAACTGACACTGTTAACTGTGCGTTAACGACGATATGCAGCTAACAGTGAAGTATGCGCTTAGTAAATGTGAGTCCAAACGCACGGTCCCAATATGTACACTATATCCATTGTTATTTACATTATCAGCGCCATGTCCACACCAAGTCATAATAATGTTAAACGTAGTTGTTCGCATGACATGTATCTTACGAAGCTCTCCAGGGATGTACCCCCATGCAACAGACGCTCACTATTGTTTTAAAATCTCATCGGTCACAAAATAATACGAGCACATGGTTTACCCAGAGACATGCGTCATTCGGTAGTACGCTAGTATAAAATAAACAGTATAAATACGAGTATAATGTGCTAAGATA